AATGCTCTCAAGAGATGGAAACCGATTGTTCACAGCTACTTCCAACGCCAGAGCTAGGGAAACAGATTCAAAACAGACAAGAAAATATCTTTTATCAGGCAGTGGGAAACAGGCCTGTGGAGAACTCCCTCCTGAGGCGTGTTGTGAATGCAGGCAGTTCTCATAAACTCAAGGGGAAACTGGGCAAGCTCTGGGAATAAGAGGTAAACTAGGAATTATGATGCAGGTAAACACAAAGTGGATCCGCAATCTCCTGAGCTGAAAGGAGCCGGACTATCTGAATGCTTAGTTTGTACTGTTGAGGTCATCCTTACACAAAATACACTAAAAACCACCACAACAGCAATAATAACCGAACCTTTTCAGCACAAAGGCACTGGCAAGACAAGTGATGCTCACCCCCACAACCTCAAGGAACCCTCTCAGAGTCAGTGAACAGCCCCCAGCAACATATAGCTGCTGGCATTTACCAGAATCTACACGAGCAAGTCTGCTGGCCAGGAGGCAAGAGGGTGTGTGTAGATTGCATTTAATGGTTCTGCGCTTCCTCATGCAGCTCTGAGACAGAAGCAGGGAGCAGAAGGTGCATCCGTCAGCCTCCTGCCATGCTGCCCCACAGCAAGACCGTGTTGCGCGCTTCTTTCCTGCCGCCCATCTGCTAGACCCGCTGTCAGCTTGTGCTGCTGGGAGGTGCTCAACACGGAGCACTCCAGCACCCTCTCCTGCTGCAAGGGAGCACAAAGGGCCCTTCCCCAGAACCATCTGGCACAGTTCCTCTTGCACAATCCCAAACCACGTCTGTCTGTGTGCCTCAAGGGTGCTGTGTCATGTATTGCAGCAGAAGACAGTCCAGCACTGAGCTGATTTCTTCTCCAAATCCCAGCCGATGCCCATCTCCGTATGGTGCCTCTAGGATGTAGCAAGGTTTTGGTGTCTCCGCGCTGCCCCACCAGCACAATCTGTCAGTGCAGGGGAGAACAGGCCACATCACAGAACTGGTGCAAACAGACTGTATTGCAGCAGTGCCAGCATCCCTTATGAGGGATCTTATAGGCTGGACTTGATGATCTCAGATGTCTTTTCTAGACTCAGTAATTCCGTGATTCTGTGATCTTCAGAGACCAGAGGGGTTTATTTCTTGTTTGCAAAGTGATTATTGTTGATAGAGCAAGGTGAAGACAACAGCTAGCTTTGTCCATGTTAATTCTGGTAAACAGTTATCAGTAATAACATTGAAAACCTCAAGTAACTACGAAAAGTCAGCTGCACCCACTTGTAATCGAGGTTGACACCTGACTCATGAGACACTAAAAATACAAATTCCCACCCAGTAGAGCAGGTTGATGGTCACACTTCCTCCTCCAGATTACAATATTGGTGGAGAATCCCGCCTGCCAGCAAGAGCCAGGTTTTTTATCTTCACAGTGCTAAATTATAATCTGGGGTTTTACCTTAGGAGCAAAGAGCACAGCAAAGCATAAAGCCGGGTGTTTTATAAAGCTGCTACTCTTACACTATTGATGTAAAACTGTACCTCAAACCTTTGCTCTAGTAATCTGGAGCCATATGAAGCACTCCAAAGTCCACAGGACACGGCCTCTCTGTGGCTCACGCCTTGTTGCCGTTTCCGGATTCTGGTCCCCTGTGCGTTTCCGTGACCTTTGTCAGCAGCAGCAAGAGCTTAGCTGACAAGCCCTGGCATCGTGCTCAAGACTCAACGTTTCAGGCCGGAGCCACACGACCAAGAGAGATCCTGGAGCATAACAGAGCCCGGACCGGGAGCTGCAGCAGAAGAGCTGCCCAGGGTTGCTTTTACTCCGGAAAAAGGGTTCTTAGCAAGGCTGCGGTAACGCGACAGTTGTTATGAGTCAGCAAAGTCTCCTCATCCTTGGATTCTGACTGGACCAGCAGACACGAGCTCAGACTTTCTCTCAAGCCGGGGGAGCTTTTTGCCCCCTCTGTAACCGGGCG